CTACCTCTGTGCTGAGGTGGCCGTACGCTCTGCATTTGTAGCACCAAGGTCTGAACTTGTGTGCTGTGTGGATTTGGTATGTTCTTCCCCCCATTTTGAAGGGGATGATATCGTTGAGCGAGAAAGGTTGGTCCTTTGGGAGATCCAGGGCCATCATCACGTAATCATCCCTTTTCGCCACGTACGTCGGTAGCGGGTCTATAAAGTCAACGATTTTATACTGCTGACCGAAGTCGTGGATGAATGCTGCCTGGACTTCTACTGGTATGTGTCTCAGTTCCACCATGTAAAAATCTTTCATTAACTGGTCCCTCTTCTCCTCCGGACCGATCTTTCTTGGCAACCATGGATAGATGCGGACATCCGACTGGTCCCAGCTCAACTTTTTCCACCCATCCATTTTCTTCTTATCTTGTTCGAAAAGACTCAGTATCGTGAAAACAGTGGACGACAGCGGTTGAATCAGGAAGAATTCTTGCACTGCTTCTGGTCCGTCCTTAATCTGTTCTAGCCTCTTGCAAATCCATTTAATCTTATCATTAACTGACCTGTATGCACTATCATCATAAAAAATCCAATTGCTTGCGTGCTTGATATACGCAGCGTCTCTCTGGGCCAGCTTTTCTGCTGGGTATGATTTCATCATCACTTTTCTTCCACCCTGATCCACCACCTTCTGTTCCGAGGGTTGAAGAAAAAGTGTGAGGAAATAAGCTCTAGCAGATGAAGAAAAAGTGTGAGGAAATAAGCTCTAGCAGATGATAAGTTTCTGAAGGGAACTTTCAGTTCCTCTGCTGGCAGACGGGAGTCTGTTCCGACAGGTCTGACGATTGTTAAGGACTTGCCCTCTAGAGTTTCTCTAACCTTTTGTGCCCAAGATGGTTTCCCTGATTCTTGTGATGCCGGGAGGGATTGTGATGATTGTGATGATTGAGGGGACTGTGTCGTGTGGTCAATTTGTCTTTTCCTTGTATTTTCTTCCATCAGCTTCTCTTCTTCTGTGAGCACTCCCTCCTCCATCTCTCCCATTATCAGGTCTAGGGCCGGGGGAATTGTCCCGTCATGATCTGATGCATCCTGTTTCTCTGTTTTTGTCGGTGTAGGTGACAGTGTGACCTGTCCCTGAGAGGATGCAAATGATAGCTGCCCATGTCTTGACTGGGAAGGGCTATGAATGATTACTTCCTGTTCTCTATGACCAGAGTCTATCTGCATTTCTGTTACTGTCTCTGTCGAAGGGATGGCGTTTGTGTTGAGTTTGCCAGCTATTGCGCTCACCGGCCGAGCGTAGGGGCTGGGTCCCAGTTGTTTGAGCATGCTGTGACGCATTGCGCCTTGGTAAAAAAGTAGGGACCTAGTCCCTTTTCCCCTGTCACATCCCAGTCTCATCATGATTACTATCTTTCCTTGATTAACTACCTTTGTTTGCT